ACGTGCACCCCAATGTTTATAGCAGCAATGTCCACAACAGCCAAACTGTGGAAAGAGTCAAGATGTCCATCAGCAGATGAATGGATAAAGAAGAGGTGGTATATATACACAATGGAATATTATGCAGCCATCAAAAGGAATGAGATCTTGCCATTTGCAACGACGTGGATGGAACTGGAGGGTGTTATGCTGAGTGAAATAAGTCAATCAGAGAAAGACATGTATCATATGACCTCACTGATATGAGGAATTCTTAATCTCAGGAAACAAACTGAGGGTTGCTGGAGTGGTGGGGGTGGGAGGGAGGGGGTGGCTGCGTGATAGACATTGGGGAGGGTATGTGCTATGGTGAGCGCTGTGAATTGTGCAAGACTGTTGAATCACAGATCTGTACCTCTGAAACAAATAATGCAATATATGTTAAGAAAAAAAAAGAAGAAGAAGATAGCAGGAGGGGAAGAATGAAGGGGAGTAAGTCAGAGGGGGAGACGAACCATGAGAGACGATGGACTCTGAAAAACAAACTGAGGGTTCTAGAGGGGAGGGGTGTGGGGGGATGGGTTAGCCTGGTGATGGGTATTAAAGAGGGCACATTCTGCGTGGAGCACTGGGTGTTATGCACAAACAATGAATCATGGAATACTACATCAAAAGCTAATGATGTAATGTATGGTGATTAACATAACAATAAAAAAATTAAAAAAAATCATACCCCAAAAAGTACAAGAAAGTATTAAGTTGAACAATGTACATATTAACCATTAAAATTATAAATTTTTATAAAGAACTTCTCAAACTCAACACCCAAAAAGCAAATAATCTGGTCAAGAAATGGGCAGAAGACATAACAGATACTTCTCCAAAGAAGACATACAAATGGCTAACAGACACATGAAAAAATGTTCAATATCACTAGTCATCAGGGAAATACAAATCAAAACCACAATGAGATACCACCTTACACCAGTTAGAATGGTAAAAAATTAACAAGACAGGAAAAAACAAATGTTGGCAAGGATGTGGAGAAAAGGGAACCCTCTTACACTGTTGGTGGGAATGCAAGCTGGAGCAGCCACTTTGGAAAACAGTATAGAGGTTCTTCAGGAAGTTAAAAATAGAGCTACCATATAACCCAACAATTGCACTACTAGGTATTTACCCCAAAGATACAGATGTAGTGAAAAGAAGGGGCACGTGCACCCCAATGTTCATAGCAGCAATGTCCACAATAGCCAAACTGTGGAAGGAGCCGAGATGCCCTTCAACAGACGAATGGATAAAGAAGATGTGGTATATATACATACAATGGAATATTACTCAGCCATCAGAAAGGATGAATACCTACCATTTGCATCCACATGGGTGGAATTGGAGGGTATTATGCTAAGGGAAATAATTCAAGCAGAGAAAGACAATTATCATATGGTTTCACTCATATGTGGAATATAAGCAATAGTGCAGAGGATCATAGGGGAAGGGAGGGAAAATTGAATTGGGAAAAATCAGAGAGGGAGACAAACCAGGAAAGACTCTGGACTCCGGGAAACAAACTGAGGGTTACAGAAGGGAGGGGGGTGGGGGGATGGGATAACCGAGTGATGGGTATTAAGGAGGGCGTGTGTTGTGATGAGCACTGGATGTTATATGCAACTAATGAATCGTTGAACACTACATCAAAAACTAATGATGTAGGAGCAAGATGGCAGAGGAGTAGGAGACCTGGATTTCCTCTGGTCTCAGGAATTCAGCTGAATAGGGATCAAACCATTCTGAACACCTACGAACTCAACAGGAGATCGAAGAAGAGAGTAGCAACAACTCTCTGAACAGAAAAGCGACCACTTTCTGGAAGGTAGGACGTGCGGAGAAGGGAATCCGAGGTGATATTCAGGAAGATAGACGGTGGGGGAGGGGGCCTCCGTTGGCCGCTTCTGGCAAGTGCTAGAGCCGCGGCGCACAAAATCGGAACTTTTAGAAGTCGGCTCCGCTGAGGGACGTCGTTCCAGTGGCTAACGGGGGGTGGAACCCTCGCGGGACAGTGTGGTCTCAGGACCCTCGGGGTCACAGAAAGACCGGGGGTGCCTGAGTGCGGCAGAGCTCCCAGGTATCGGAGCGGGGAAGCCGGCTGCAGAGACGGAGCCGAGGCACGGGCTCTCAGCTCGGGGTGGCCATAAACTGTGATCCGCGGCCCAGTCGGGCCACTGCTCCTCCAGCACCCTCCTTCAGTAGAACACACTGAGTCTTAGAAGAGTCCTGTGCAAGTGAAGGGGCACTGAAACCAAAGCCTCATTAACTTTATCATAAAAACTCCCTTGTGTGTGTTAAAGAACCCCTGAAAATCTCAGTAATTAATGGCATCGAGTGCCTCTGAAATTAGGCGTGTAGGTGGGACTGAAAACAGAAGGATAGATTGAAAGTATCTATATAGAGCATTTAGACATGAATATTTGCTACAGGGATGAACAAATAAGCCAATATAATAAAACAAATGCCCACGCAAATGTGAAAGACTATGGCTATGGCTATGACATTGTGGATCTGTAGTAAAAGACTTCCATAAATGATGCCGGGAAGAGTCGACGTCCACATGAGAACACCGCAATTGTACCTCTGTGGCATATTATGTATGGCAAGCATATACAAACATAATTCCCAGGTAGTTTGAAGACCAAAAGTTAAAGGGAAAACCATAGTGTATCTTCGTGAAATCAAGACAAGAAAGGAGTTCTTAATCAAGATACAGAAAATACTGATCATAAAGGAAAAGGTTGATAAATGTGACTGTATTAAAATTAACTTTACCTAAGAAAACATCAGAAAAACCCAAACTAGAGAGAAACCGAGAACAGACTGGAGGAGCCTAAGGAGACATCATGACAAAATGCAGTATGTATTCTGGATTGGAGCTTGGAAACTAAAAAGGCCATGAGGGGAAAAACTGGTGAAATCAAAATAAAATCTGTGGTTTAGTTATAGTCTTTAACCAGTTATAGTCTTTAACCACTGATAATTTCTTAGTTTTGACAAATGTACCACGGTTAAGATATTAACATTAGGGGAAGGTGGGTAGAGCATATACGGGAACTCTCTATTAATATGTTTGCACTTGTTCTGTAAATCTAATACCATTCCAAAATAGAAAGTGTTTTAAAATTTAGGAAAAAAGTTCTCCATTATAGTGAGAGCGCCTGACAATAACTTTTTTTCCATGTCAAAGACATCCAACTCAAATAAACCTATTGCCAGTCTTGACGTGGTCACTAGCTAAACAACTAGGTAGAGAGCCAGGCCATCCCTCCCATGAAATTCCCCTTTTTTAAATTTATTTATTTATTTATTTATTTATTTATTTATTTATTTATTTAAAGATTTAATTTATTTATTTTGACAGAAAGAGACACAGTGAGATAGGGAACACAAGCAGGAGGGGGGGGAGAGGGAGAAGCAGGCTTCCTGCTGAGCAGGGAGTCCGATATGGGGCTCGATCCCAGGACCCTGGGATCATAACCTGAGCCCAAGGCAGATGCTTAATGACTGAGCCACACAGGCGCCCGTGAAATTTCCCTTTTAAAGAAAGGCCTGGGTAACCTACATTACCGACCACTTGAGTGACCCTGCGTTTTCCTTCCTGTGCTTTCATTCTTGCTCTTGGGTTTTAAATTGTGAAACCCTAGGCCCCCCACCCCGATAAGGGCAGAACCTTCAAAGTCCCCCCTTCTCTCTCCCTACATAGGACCTCACTCTGTGACCCTGCACTTATCTTGTACCCTCCAGGAGTTGTGAGAAATAAACCTTGTTTTTTCAAAGTTCTCTGATGGTTGTTGCTGAGATGCATCTTGCAAGTGTAATAAGAACCACCAGGGCTGGTCGAGCCAACACTGGCTCTGGTAGGGGAAATGTCTGTGGGGGTCTCACCACAAGTAGCAGGGCTCAGGTGAGTCCCAGGCATTCCCAGCCAACAGGATTACTATCAAAGCCTGAGAACAAAAACAGCCCTATATTATGCCATACACAAAAATTAATTCAAATGGATAACCAACTTAATGTGAAAGTTAAAACAATAAAGCAACTAGAAGAAAACATAGGAGCATATTTTCACTACTTTGAGGAGGCAATGATTTCTGAAATGTAATACAAAAGCACGAACCATAAAAAATGTAGATAAATTGTATTTCTTTGGATTTCAGTTGCTAGTTTCCAATTCAGTAGAATATTTTAAGTGATATTTTTCATAATTTATCTTGCTTTAATTATTTAAATTGCCATAATTTTAGATATTCCAAACTAGAAAGTTTTCTTCTGACTCCATCTGCTATGTTTCTTAAAACTTAGGTCAATATTCAGAACTTATTTTTAATGATTATATAAACATTATTTGAAGCTGAGGCATGTATGATTACCCTTCCTTTTTTGAATTTACCTGAGGCCATTTATTATTCTGAGAATTTTCACTGGGTTCAGAGACCAGAAAAGAGAAAGTTTTGTTTTCTAATCCTATAATCTTAGCACTATACTAAAGGCCACAAGGCAAAATAAGAGAGACCTTGCAGATAGTGGTAGCTGACCATGCTACCTCTAACCTTTTCTGCATAACTGACCCCTCATAAAGCAAGCCCCAGACATCAATCACTGTTCTTGCAATGCCCCAAGACCTTCTTGCCTACAATCTGAAAAGCAAGTTCCCTCTTCTCTGATAACCCTGAAGACTCCGGTTCTCATCTTGCACTGGGCTCTGTGTTGTTTCCTGATCTCAACAAGTTTCATTCCCCCTCGTGGGGAAGTCCTCTTCTCTCCTATAATTCACAGAACCCCGTCATGGAGAGGAAAGGCGGATGATTTCACTTGCTTTTACACCACCTAAATACAACTCAAGAAGTATATCTAATATTTGGTTTGCTCACTAGCATGTTTGAACAAACTACAGTCAGGATAATTTAAGTAGTATGTGTTCCACCAAAATGTAAGGCAATGAACTTAGTCATTTCTTATTTGGTTCACAGATATATTGACTACTATTTGAAGAAATTTATATTATCTGCAGATGAGTTTTTTATGGTTGGCCATAAAGTCATAATTTATGTCCTGATAGATGACTTCTCCAGGATGCCTTGGATACAGCTGCATCCCCTCCGTTCAATCAAAGTGTTTGAAATTAAGCGAGAGAAGAGATGGCAGGATATCAGTATGATGCGCATGAAGGCTATTAGTGAACATGTTATGGATCATATCCAATATGAAGTTGACTTTCTCTTCTGCATGGACGTGGATCAAATCTTCATAAGGAAATATGGATTGGAGACTCTGGGGGAGTCAGTAGCTCAGTTACATGCTTATTGGTACAAGGAAGATCCTATAGTGGTGCCATATGAAAGAAGTGAGTTATCAGAAGCATATATACCTTTTGGTATGGGAGATTTTTATTACCATGCTGCTGTATTTGGTGGCACTCCCATTCAAGTTCTCAATATTGCCAGGGAGTGCTTAAAAGGAATCATGAATGACAAGAAAAACAGCATCGAAGCAGTGTGGCATGATGAAAGTCACTTAAACAAGTATTTCTTTCTCCATAAACCCACTAAACTCTTATCACCGGAATATTGCTGGGATTTTACTAAAACAGATGTTCCTTTTATTTACAATATCAAACTTGTTTGGGCTAAAAAGGATTATGAACATCTTAGGGTGACAATGTAATTATATAGCACTTTCTTCAGGTTGCTGAAGTTAAGAGCATCATTTTGTCTTATTCCTTAGGAAATTAGCACTTGATAAATTTTACCACTAAAAAAAAAGAATCACTAACAAAATGGCAAGGCCACCAAGACAGCATACTCATACTTTTCCTCATATTTATTTTGAATTGTATAAGATGGGATATAGCAGTTGCAGAATGAATGTATTGACATCAGATGGAAATACAGTGATTTCATATCCTGTGTGAGTGTTGAGGAAATATTATTTTTTGGATCACAATGAACAAAATAGAATCTCTCACAAGAAAATGAAACCTGAAATATTTTTATTGATCCATGTGGATACACATTTCTCATATTGCTTAAGAAAGGGGATTGTCTAGAGGTGTGGATAAGAAGTCACTGCAAGAATAGTAATATTCTCTCTATGTAAAACATTAAAGACGTTAAAGTTGCCACCAGATGGACAGATAATTACTTAGGAAACTGAGTCATTCAAAAAAATTTGTGAATTTGTAGTTTTAAAACTACAAAGTTGTTTGTTGTAAAAACTAATTGAAAAGAAAATAAGATACAGAGAAAATTGAAAGCCCCCCTTTACTCTCCCTTTGAAAACCTACCCTTCGGGGTGCCTGGGTGACTCAGTCATTAGGCGTCTGCCTTTGGCTCAGGTCATGATCCCAGGGTCCTGGGATCGAGCCCCGCATCGGGCTCCCTGCTTGGCGGGAAGCCTGCTTCTCCATCTCCCACTCCCCCTGCTTGTGTTCCCTCTCTCACTGTGTCTCTCTCTGTCAAATAAATAAATAAAATCTTAAAAAAAAAAAGAAAAACTACCCTTCAATAATCCTTTCATAAGCATTTACATACCTACCACATGAATACACACACACACACACACACACACTCACAGGCTTATTTAATATTTTATACAAACTGATTTATACCACACACATGCACACATACATGCACACACACAGATTTTATCACTAGTCACGGTCCAGTTAGGAAAACAGATACTACTATTCTCGGTATTTTAAACAGTAGGGATTTAACTGGACATATAAAATGAGGAGTACAAAAGAGAGAGTGGAGCAACCCATAATTTTTTCTTTTTTAAATGAAGGCAACAGCACTCCTAAGGTGAAGGAAAAATTGTAGGATGTCCAGAAATCGCTAGAACCTAGCATGAGTAGCCAGGCACGAGTGGGGACAACAAAGAGAGGAGTCCCAGTCACTGCTAAAAATGGAGACAGACACAAGAGAGAAACATACAGACTTTTCCCCTTCTCCTATCCTGTCTTCCTGTTTTCCATGGTCCAGTGCTATCCACTGAGCAGAGGGCAGGAAAAATGAGAGAGGAATCTGACAGTAAACAGACAAATGGCTACCACAGTTCAAGCATTTTGCCACAAAGCATCCATACTCCTCCTTCCACCCATGCCTCACTCCCATAAAACAATTTCATGTTTCTACCTTGCAGAATTCAACCAACTTTTGTATAATCACTTTCTTCCCAAAAGGGTGAAACACAAAGTACCACCCAACATCATTTCCCTCATCATGTACAGGAACCCAAGATGATATGAGATCCTCTCCCTCAGGACTGTATGTGGCTCTTCCGTTTGGTGAACTCTGAACTAAATTGTAAAGAAAAGAATAACTAACATTCCTCCTTAAAAAAAAAAAAAAGTAGGAAGAGAAGGAAAAAAGGAAAATAATTGGTTAGCATATAAAAAGCTATATATATTATATATATACACACACACTTATGTTTATAATATAAATATACATGCCTGCTATAGTCCTCATTTCTGTAGCCAGTTCTAAAGTCAAGTTCATATTGATCACTTCTTTCTTCCACCACCAGTTTTATGTTCCTCACCCTCTGCTAGAAGCTCAGCTGAACAGGGTCCTTTACTAGTGAGATGGCATAAACATTTTCTCTGTGGGATCTGAGTCTTTAGTGGGTCTTTATTCATTGGATTGCCATGGTTTTCCCCTAACAAGGACTGTTGGATAAAGTAGTTTAAGAGGCTCCCAGGGAACACCTTGAATTGTAAATACAGCTCTCATTCTACTATTGTATAATAGCAGCCTGCTTTCATCTTGATAATTGTGATAAGTTCCCTTATCCAGTACAGAGACCCCTCCTCCCTGCTCTGCAGGGAGCCCGATGTGGGACTTGATCCCGGGACCCCAGGATCATGGCCCGAGCCGAAGGCAGTCACCCAACCAACTGAGCCACCCCGGTGCCCTCTTGGCACCAATTTTTCAATCAGCGAGTCCAGTCTCATAGAAATGACTTCCACTGATCATGGATTACAGCTGCATATATCCAAGCTTTTAGTTTGTTGGATCAGAAAGCATTAAGTTCATGGTGTGTAGGAGAAGTCATAGTTCAAGTAAGTTTGGAATCCTGTGTGTCCAGTATTCATTCTCTACCTGGCTATGCAAAATGCTCTATTTAGAATCTATATGTGCCGCTTTAACGGGCTAAGGGGCACAGATCCTTACTCTGCAGACTATCTTACACAGAGCCTTCTCTTGCTCTGGGTCTCCCTCAAATTGGTTTCTCAATACACAGGTCAGAGTGGCACTCATGTACAATATATGTTGTCTCCTATACCCAAAAAGTCCCACTGAGCTTTATGCATACTCTGATTTGCTGGTAAATGGTGCAAGGTGCAGGAACTTGCCCAGAGCCAATAACCCTACGTGCTCCGCAGAAATGTCACTGATGTGTCAGGCCCCTGAATTTTTCTTCCACCTCCTGGCATACATTTGTATTAGCATGACATCTGGGATTCTTGCTCCTTTCTGCTCAAAATGCTCAGCACGGTGTGAACAACGGTAGTCTGTAAGATGTCCAGGTGGTCAAGGGCGCTGTGGATTACATTACAACAACGCAGGAGTTTGTGTAACTCTGAGGTTTGCTGATGTCTGCCAGGTAAAAGCAAACTGCTTTGGATAATCCATACTATAAGGAAAAACATCTGTCACCTGCAGACCAAATACCAGGGACTGCTCTAGCAAAGATACAACACCAGGAGAAGTAGCTGTAGTTGGAGTCACCACTTGATAAACTTTATGATGATTGCCAGGCATACTGCAAATGTCTCCATCTTTTACACTGGCCAAACAAGCAAGGATATTAACAAATCTCAGGGAAGCGTACCTGTTTCAGTAACTTCAGAACCTCGGTTCAATCCAATATTATATTTCATTCATCTTAATCTGATATCATTAGATATTAAACAAGGGTGTAATAGGAATCGACGACCTGCAGTGTTTGAGTTTTTAATGGTAGTACTAATCTTTACAATCGCCACAGGGAGCTGTTATTATTATATAACTTTTGATTTACTACTTTACTAGGAGAGCCTTTTCCATTGGCTTCAATTTGACCCTTCTTACCACGTTCATCCTTATACATGAGTCAAAGACTGATGTAAGTACTCTACTAGTTGCTGAATATATGTATTTCAACCATGAATTCAGGAATTCAGAAACCACAGAGTGGCTCTTTTGTATGGTGGGACCACTGTGAGATAAACTCGGGGTAGAATTTAATTTATCCCCTATTCTCCATAAGCCTCTGTTTACTAGATCACGATGCTATTTCTAGCCTCTAGAAATTGTCAGCTCAGAGCTAGTGTCCATTCTGAACTTTCCTCCAAGGACACAGTCATCCTACTAAGTGACCACAGGTCTTCCCTTGAAGTGACATAGACTCCTCTTCAGTCAAGAGACTCCCAGGTCTATAAACTGACTTAGGTATGGGAACATGATGAGATACCATAACTTGTTACTGTGACAATTCAAGTCAGGTTTCTGCTCACCAGGGCTAGGGTTTCCCCAATAATGTAAATCCCATAGTTCTCATTGAAGTCTGAGAGTCCATTTCACTATCAGTATCTCCCGGCACTGACTCATTTCTCCGTGACTTAGTAAAAGAGAGAGTCCTCTGAGTGCCCCCCCACCCCCACCCCCTGGAACATAGTTGGGGGGAAGGCAAATGGTGTGAACATGATAAATTCACTTCAGCATTTCTGTCTCCCTAAACGTTTGGATTCCTTCTACATCATGCCAGAAAAGCTATGACATCTTAACCTCATTGATTGTAGGCTACCACTGAATTCAAATTTTAGTTAACATCCAAGAAAACTCTTAGAACCACTTACAGCTGACTAGGACAACATATTAAACCCAGAATATCAGGTAAATGTACCTGTTTCAATAACTTCAGAACTTCAGCTCAATCCAATATTATATTCATCTCACTCTAATATCATTAAAATCCATTCTCACATGTGTTTCCCTACTAATACAAATTACCAAAAGCTTGAAATTCTTTTAATGTACCTATCTCCTACTGGAGCTGACCTTGATTTTCCTCCCTGAGGCATGATGTTTCTGACTCCAGGTATTAGGTCTTCAGACAATGAGAATAGGCATCACCTTATAAATCATCTTGGGTGAGATCTTTATGGAGTCTTTAAGCAAGAAAAGACTTGTTTTCTCAGAGAGATGAAGAGGAGGAGTTGTTTCCACTGACAAGGGAAGCTCAGAAGGATTAGAATTACAAGTTCTCATATTCATCTGAATCCACCCAAATGTTCTCATTCCAAGTATAGGGATGACAGTCTTTCCAACTTCTCTAATTTTAACATGAGACTTTTTTTCAAGTTTCTATTTAAATTCCAGTTAGTTAACGTACAGTGTAACATTAGTTTTAGGTTTAGAACCTAGTGATTCATCACTTACATATAACACCCAGTGCTCACAAGTGCCCTACTTAATCCCCATCACCCATTCAGCCCATCCCCCCACCACCTCCCTCCAGTAACCCTTTTTGTTCCATATTGTCAAGAGTCTGTTTTCTGGTTTGCCTCTCCCTCTCTTTCTCGCTCTCTCTTCTCTCTTTTTATCCCCTATGTTCATCTGTTTTGTTTCTTAAATTTCACATATAAGTGAAATCATATGGTATTTGTCTTCTCTGACTTGTTTTGTTTCCATCCACATCATGGCAAGACTTCATTCTTTTCAATGGCTGAATAATATTCCATTGTATACATCTTCTTTATCCATTCATTAGTTGATAGACATTTGGGCCTTTTCCATAATTTGGCTATTGTTAATAATGCTGCTATAAACATGGGGGTGCCTGTATCCCTTTGAATCAGTATTTTTGTATCCTTTGGGTAAATACCTAGTAGTGCAATTGTTGGGTTGTAGGGTAGTTCTATTTTTAACTTTTTGAGGAACCTCCATACTGTTTTCCAAAATGGCTATACCGGTTTGCATTCGCACCAACACAAGAGACTTTTAGACGTTATATATAAACTTACATTCTAAGTATGTATATCACACAATTCAATTTGAGGCCTTATCCTCAGCCATGTGTGTCTTATGACTACAAGTACACATGCACGCATATGCACACACACACACACACACACACACAAATACACACATAGGCTCCAAAGGAAGCATCTTGGTCTGTGTCCATGTCTTGAGCTGAGATTTCCAATTTTTAGACTTATCATTTTATTTCTGTAAGCTCTCCAGAACAGTCAGAAGCAGCAATCCCATCTTAAAGACTTTGTACTTGCTATGGCCACAATGGTGAGTATAGCACCTGTGTAGTGTCCTGAAGCTTTCCTTTTGATGTACACTACCTATCAAGCAATAATAGTGATAAAATAATTTAGATAATTGTGATGTCACTATATGCCACAGACTTCTAGTATCCCACTAGGATAGTAGGTTAGGATTCTATATGGTAGTCAAACAGGTGTGCAACCCAAAACCAGAAT